CCCCCCAAACAAAAAAAATATGGGTTTACTAGAGCATAAGTTAACAAGTTCAATCAAACATGAGTTTATTAAGATATTGGACCTTTTTCTTTATACCCATCATACCAAACCCCCCTTATAATCCATCAAACAAACAATCCCTTATAATCTCTGTTTCATAACCACAAGATTCATTTTTTTAAGGGGTGTTTGGTAGAAGTATTCCGAGGTAGTATTGGACTAAATTACTTGCTCAGTCAAAAAATAATCAATGGTACTCCATGTTTACAGAGCGGTTTGACTTTTGGAATTTTTTTTAAGTCCTTAAGTTACAAATTGTTTTATTATTTACAATGACGATCATTGTTGCCATTGTTAGACAATAACGTACAAAAATATTCTTATTGTCCACAAACATGGATCAGAAACAAATTAACATTAACTTATAATTTACAACTAACATTCACCATGAACAGAATTAGTATATAATAGTGCCAGTAAATTCCTTATGGCATCAAAGACTGAAAACTTGCATTCTAGATCCACCTTTCTGGATCTAGAACAGAAATTGAAAAAAAAGAAAGAAAGAAATGTTGATTTTTATTATAATACTTCAAAAAATAAATATTAATAAAAATTAGATGGAAGAACACAACTTTTAATCTAACAGTCATATATTTTGGAAGTGAGTAGTAATACTTCTTACTTCATAAATAGTCACATTTTGTTTCATGAATAGTCATGGATTTGGGTACGAATAATTGTAACCTAATGAATTTTCACAACATTTAAGGGCATTGTGATATTTCACGAAAATGTGTCATTTTATATATAAATGGGCTTATGTTCAAGTGGTTTTGGTATTCTATTTGAGAAATGATATGTGTACAAAAAATATGTACAAAAACTTGAATCAAATTACTAACAGTTGTTGGATCAGTGAGTCTCATTACTAATCTAACAACTATAGTTGATTTGATGCACATACAATTATTCATTTTATTTTATTCATCAATAATTTTTTTTTTTTGGAACTTATTTCTTCTTATAAGTGAAATCTTGTGATTCTTTTGAGTGTCCAAGAAATTTTTATTTTAAGAATGCAATTAAGGGTTTATTCAAGTTCGTCAAACTGCTTGTTTGAGTGCACATCATGAGTTTCTGTTTGGTTTATTGTATTTTGAGAGTAGAATGTAGTGATTATATACGTTTGGATAACAATAATATTTTATTTTAGAGAGAACATATTTTATAGCGTGCCTACGTTTTATCTTTATTTTTTTGTTATTATTATTTTCATTATCTTTTTTGTCTTATTGATTTGGGGTAGGTTAAATTTATTGATCTTTCATGGAGGATAAGATACATAAGTTGTATAAATTTCAACAAGAAAAAAGCAAACCAAGTACATAATTCCATTCTAAATTTTAAGAGTCCCATATGGGACCAAAGGCAGGAATGCCTTGAGCCTTGCATGCATCAACCACATCCCGGCTCCCTTCCGGATTACTGGTCACAATGACAACCTCCGCTCCCCAATTTCTAGCTGCATCGATGCTCATTTTCGAAACGTTTGGCCGACCAAGCACCGCCGTGTCATGGACAATCACCTTATCTTTCGGATGCCCACTCATCATCTCTTTAATCTCCTTTCCAAAGTTTTGTTCAATTCCTTTGGCTACCCATAGCACGCAAACATCTGCCGAACATGGCTGCAAGAGGAAAGAGAGAAAAACACATATACCTGACCCTGTTGCCACCACCAAAACCCTATCATACATGTTCACCAGGTAAGGCAGACCAGCAAAGTGCACCTGCCTCACCCATAAATGGCTCGGTGGGTTCGACACCAAGGATTTGGTGAAGTCACCAACTGCACCAGCAAGCATCATGTGTTGTTTTTTCCCATCAGAAATGATCCCAAAGGCATGCCATTCGGATAAGGGTGATGGGCTAATTCTACCCAATATGCCACTTTTCACTCCTCCTTCAAACTTGATAATGGAGGCATGGCCTGAAGGGGCAGATACTTTAACAGGCACACGTCTTACAGTCATCCATGGGATAATTATAGTCATAGTAATGGCCACTGTGAGCCAGAATTCTTGCTGCTTTATCAACCTTGACCCAAGGTCATTGCTGTAGGATTTGGTTTTGGGATCATAAGAAATTGTGAGGATGATGAAGGCCCAAAGGAGGAGAAGAGCTGACCATCCGGCAAACCGATGAGTCCTCTCGAATACGTTGTGATGGATATGGCGGACAAGAGGGAAGGCGGCCAAAGAAGAAAGGAAGAGAAGTGAGAGAATGGTTGAGGAAACACCAATGATCTCTGGAGAAGTGTTATTTCTATCCTTTAAAGTGAGGACTAAAGCATATGTCAACCATGCAATTGAGGAGACGCCACAACCACTATGTATCCCACCAAGGGATTGCAGGAGGGAGGTGATGGCGGTCTTGAGGCGGAGGGGCACCCATGACCACCCCAAGAGGTTCACTGCAAGCCAGAATACAACTCGCAAGAAAGCCTCACACCGACATAGTGTCAATGCCAAAATGTTTCCAATGGAGAAAAGGGCGGCTCTGCGCCTTGCATATGGGAAATGTCCGGTGGCAGCAAGAACCAAACCGGTGATGTTCAGAGCCAAACAGACGACAAAGAGTCTCTTGTAGACTGTGAACAGGCCTTGATCAAGCAGAATAACTGATACTCTTGAGTCTTTTGGTTTAGTAGGCTTTGGTGGCTGAACGTGTTGGCTTTTAGCTTTTGGAAGTGGAAGAGGCAATTCATCATCTTCGTGTCCAACTCCTTCTTCTATGTCCGCCAAAGTATCATCATCTTCATTCTCGTCCAGGTCGAGATCACAAAAATGGCTACTAGCCCGGCTCATAGACCTCTGTATACTACTTCCAGAAGGGCCTACTGTAGAAAAGCTTCCCCAGGGAAGCCAAATCTTTTTGCTTCCTAATCCTCGGGTTGGAGCTATGGTGGGAGGTGGGATTGCAAATGGATCTGCATGAGGTTTGATCTCGAAAGCCACACCTCGACAGCTCGAAAACCTTCCAATTACATCTTCGTTTGCCATGTTTTGAGATCAAGAACAAGGCAAGAGCTTAATTGATATGAGTTACAGAAGGAAGTGCTCGAGAGAGGCTTGTGCTTCGGTAGTTAGATAGAGTTGAGTAAATATAAGACTTCTGGGAAGTGTAATATAACCGTGTATATGACTAGGTCATGATCATAGAGAAACTTGCATACACATTTAAGTTGACTAGAAAAAATAGCCTATGGACCCGCTTTTATTTTTCTATCTTTTCTTTCTTTTTTTCCTGAGTATTTTTAATTACATTAATAATTTACTTGTCATGATGTTTTGCACTTTTTTAGGAAGTCTCCCAACCTAGACCAAGTCTAAATGGCTTGCTTGTGTAAGAACTGTATTTCTCGCTCCAACTTCAAAACTCTAATGTTCGGGAAAATATAGTTATTGATCAAATTCAGTCAAAATAAATATTTTCTATCTATTAAACGCTGATGGCTGTTTGTTTGTTTTTTTGTTAAAAGGTATACTGGTTTGTACCATCGTAGCTTAAGCCAGATTAAAATATGTCCCTAAAGGAATAAGAATAACTAATTTTAAGGAGGTGTGATAAAAGATTGAACATAAAATTTGAGTTACCAAAAGTTGGGACAATTTCTCTCTTCATTGCGCAAGATATGAACAAAACATGCGTATCCCAACACTCGAGCCATAAATATTGCCCCAATAAGAAGTTCGTGAGGTGCCGCTACATCTTCTTCCCTCTCCCCCCCACAAAAAAAAAAAAAAAGAGAGAGAGAGAGAGAGAGATGTTACGTGCCTAGTGGTAGTTGCATTCCTCCTAGCATCTACACCTTGACCTCTTCCACCAACCTTTTAATTTTACTAGGAATTTAAGAGAGAAGAAATTAGGGGAATATGAGAATTGGCATCATGGAAGAATTTGATTATACTAAATTTGTTTTGTGTGTTTAATAAGTCAAAACAAAATACGAGAATTAAGTAGAGGCAAGCAAAGGCTTATTGAATGGTTACATTTGTTTTTGGTGAGTAAGTAAATTTCATTGCCACGATGACAAATTAATGTTCTTTTCCTGTAAACCCTCATATATTGATAATATTACATATTGTGAAAACCATATTGCATGAATACTAAATAGTTTATGAATATGGACATATGGTGTATTAGAGGCGTTTGGAATCTTAGGAAGTATCTTCAGGAAAAGTTAAGATGAGAATAACTAGATAATGTCTTGGTATTTCACCTATAACTTTCTATCCTGACAATAAATTGACTTGATTTTTGCACAATAGAAACTAGATTCCGAAAGTTACAAAAGTGTATTCACAAATATTTTGTGGATCGACTTCTAAATAGTTTAAAACTGCATTGAGAGTTGAGACAAAAATTAGACTCATGTTCGAATGCCATGTCACACTTGAATGGAACTTAGCTACAATATTTTGATGTCTGACAAAAACTTTGAGAACAATTGAGATATTGAGAGTAAGAAATGTTCGAACATCAAGTCACGTTTGAACGCAAATCTCCATTCGAACACAAATCTCTGTTCGAATGTAAGTATGATTTTTATAGTGATGATGCTCATGTCAATTGTTTAGATTATAACTATATAAATATCCTAAGGACGTCCTCTGGTTAATTTTAGTAGTCTTTGACCCTAGAAAATCCTAGAAAATCATAGAGAGTGAGAGAAAAGAGGAAAACATAAGATTCAGAAGAATTTTCACATTTGGAACGAAGCAAATATGCTAGTGTTACAAACATACATTAGATAAATGTAGGAATTCGTTCTTGAGTTCTTTCATTGAGGCTAGAAATATTATTTTTGTATGTTTTTACTCTTAAATCATATTCGTATGATAGAAAAACATCTTGTCTTAGTGTCTTAAAAACTTATGAATCGTTCTTGAACAAAAAACGTATTTTATATTTATGAAATTCTTGTTCTTGAATTTCATAACCCTAATTCTTGAAAAATTACATATTTTGCTTATAATATTCATCTGTTCTCTATTTATAAACTCTAATTCTTGAATAAATTGATAACGTTCATGGATCAAAGTCTCATAATAGAGCCACAAATAATTCAAATACTCTAGTAGATAGTTGATAGGCATTATCTTAATTTTCTATTTATCTTGTACTTACCCATTTAATTGGGTCACATTCACTTTGTAATCTTTTTATATAAACTGAATACAAACTCATCTCATCTCATCGTGAGATAGAGTTCTCAAAACTCTTTATGGTATCAGAGCCTTTAATGGTGAGATAAGAGAGTTCTGATGTTTTTTTTTTCTTGCTCATCAGACTTTGTCTATCAGATTTTTTTTTTCTTCTTCCTTCTTTGAAGACATGTCCTCTACGTCCAGCAACCAAAGTCTATCTTCAGCAACTGAAATTCCAGACTACCCATTCCCAGTGACGTAAAATGTTGCTAATTTTGTGTCACTCCGTTTCTTTTTGACTAACTTCCTTCTATGGAAAACCCAAATGCTCAACATCCTTGATAGTTATGACCTTCAAGGATTTATAAATGGTAACATCAAACCACCATCTCAGTTCATCACAATTGGTTAATCTGATTCCGAACCTAATCCCGCATTTGTCAAGTGGCGCAAGTCTGATCGTCTCGTTAAGGTATGGCTCACTGCCACTCTTTCGGAAGATGTGCTTGGCATTGTTGTAGGCCTTAACACTGCAGTTGAGGTCTGGAATGCCTTAGTCCATGCTTTTGCTCAAGTTTCGTCTGATCGCAGCCTCACCATCAAGCAGCGACTCACTTCCACGACCTGCGGGAATGATACCTTAGCAGTCTATCTACGACGGTTTAAAGCAGTCTATGATGATCCTGCTGCTATAGGAAAGCCTGTTTCTGTTCACAAGAAATCTTGGTGGCTTCTCAATGGGCTCGACAAGGAATATGACATTTTTTCAACAATGATGCTTCGCCCTCCCGTTCCTCCATATTCTGAGGTTGTAATTATGTTAGCAAGTTATGCCGATCGTCATCATCTTGACTCTCCTCAAGCTCCTCAAATGGCTTTCTATGGGCAACGTTCTTCCCCTCAATCCCACTGACAATTCTAACAAGTTTAACCGACATGGTGGACCTCCGGCAACATTTAACTCCAAAGGGAGAGGATTTTCTCATGGCCAAAATTCTGCCCCAAAGCAGTCTTCTCCTTCTTCTCATAAACAGCCTGCTTATGCCAATAAGGCCGAAACCACCATCTGTCAGATTTGCAACAAGCGAAATCATACAGCACTTAAGTGCTTTAGTCGATTCAACTATTCCTTTTCGGCAGACAACATTCCACAAGCACTTGCAGCTATAAAACTTGCTGATACTTAGGATTCTGCTTAGTTTCCGAACACAGACGCCACAGATCACATCACGAACAATCCAGGTAATCTCCATTCTTTGCTTCCTTATCGCGGCTCTGATGGTGTCATGGTTGGAAATGGCCAGACTTTGCCGATCACTCATACTGGTCAAGCCACAATTGGTGTTGGTACTACATCTCTTAAATTGAATAATGTGCTAGTGGTCCCAGATATAAAAAAAGATTTGCTTTCTGTTAGCAAGCTTACCACTGAATTTCCTCTCATTTTTATATTTGATGGGCATGGTTTTGTGATCAAGGACTTGATGACCAACAAGATAGTGGCGAAGAGGAGTAAGCACAGTGGATTGTATGTCTTGGATGAAGCTCCAGCTGCCTTCTTCTCTCATCGGTTTGAACAAGTTGATAATAATTGTTGACATCATCATCTGGGGCATCCACATCAACGTGTCATCAACCACTTGCACTCTAGAGCATTTATTTATTTTGACTCAAAAAATAAGTCCTCTACAATATGTACTAGCTGCCAAATGGGCAAGTCATGTTATTTACCATTTTTATCGGTTGATCGTAAAATAAATTCACCATTTTATTAAATTCATTGTGATTTGTGGGGATCGGCTCCGGTCAGATCTAGAGAACAATTCCGATTCTATGTTATTTTTGTTGATGAATTCACCAAGTTTACATGGTTTTTTCCCATGCGGTACAACTCTGATCTACTTGCATGTTTTGATCAATTTTACAAGTTTGCCACATGTCAGTTTGATGCTAAAATTCGGGTGTTTCAAAGTGACGAGGGTGATGAATTTGCTGCTACTCTTTTCAAACAATACTTGGCAAATAAGGGTATTCATCATCAATCGGCCTATTCCAAAACCCCCGAGCAAAATGGGAAAGCCGAACGAAAATTCTACACTTCGTGTATTAGGATCCAAGTGTTTTCACTATCTTGGAGACTATCGAGCAAACAAATTATAGCCCAAATCCCTTCCTTGTGTATTTATTGGCTAGAGTATCAAGCATAAAGGATACAAATGCTTTTATACACCCATGGGCCATGTATATATCTCTCGCCATGTTGTATTTGATGAAAATGTTCTACCTTTTTTGGAGCCCACTCGCTTATATGACATAGGGTCTTTTGATGGTGATCTTTGCACAGTTTTGGATTGGGAAATGCCTTCCAGTAGTGGTGCCATCCCATCCCCATCTGCCTTTGCACCCCCTATGCCACCTAGATCAAAGCTTGATGATTTTTCTGGATCAAAGTCCTCTGTACTCTCTTGACAGCCCACTGCTCCTGTTTTTGGCCAAGGTTCCACAAATGCATTGGTTTCACCATGCTCTTCTGCGGCATCCCCACAGTGTTCTTTGCCACTATCCAACAGTTCCTGAGTTGCAGAACCTGACCCCAATTCATTGCCTACTGCATCTAACATGCATTCTGCTGCCTTACCACTTTATCCACCACATCCCATGATCACACGCTCTCAGTTGGGCATCCACAAACCAAATCCTAAATACCTAAATCTTCATATATTTCATCCTTATAGTGACATTCCTGCTGAACCGCATTCTGTCAAGGTTGCCAAACAACACCCTGGTTCGGTAGTTGCCATGGATGAGGAGTTGGCTGCGTTAGCTGCAAACCAAACTTGGGTTTTAGTTCCCTTTTATCCCTTTTATACAACTTTATCAAAAATCGTATAATCAACCAATTATAATTTTCATTAAAATTCATGTATATTAAGTTTATAATTCTCAACGTACAAGAATAAAGAAATTAAAATATGTAAGATATCGTATCAAGGAATCTTTATTTTTACGATATTCAAAATTCTACAATTTTTTCAAAACTTTCGATTTTTGGAGAGAAAAACATACACTTGATTGTAAAACATAATTTATAAAGAGTTTTGAGAACTCTATCTCACGATGAGATGAGAGGAGTTTGTATTCAATTTATATAAACACTAATGCTATTGAGACATAATTTATAAACATAATTTGGAGACATAATGAGTTGTCACCAATGATATGACTAGGGATGGCAGTGGACCAGGAAAAAACGGGTATTCGTCCAAATCCGCCCCGTTTGGACCGGGGATGGACTATACGTATTGGACGGTGAACGTATACGGAGATACCCGTATAAACCCATACGAGGATGAAGGCGGGGATGGACTTACCCTTACCCCCGCCCCGTCCCCACTACCCGTTATATATATATATATATATACTCCAAAGATCTAACTAAACATATTTACTGTAACTGTCAATCTAGAAATATGGTAATCAAACTAACAAGTGGCATTGCTATGTGGTAATCTTATTAATTTTTTTCCCTAATTGTTCTTTTCTATGTATGCTCACTGATTGAAACTGTTAAGAGTTTGGATTAACCATGCTCTAAAAACAAATAAGAGAGAGTAAAATAGTTTTGCATTTCATCGTTAGTAGAATTATTGAATTAGCGAAATTTTAATTTTTCATCTTTTAACACTTTATGGTTGTAATATGAATTGTAATAATAAAAATTCTTCTAGAAAACTTCAAGTGTAGTGCTATCATTTTTTTAGTTCAATTTTTTTTTCTCTTTCTTTCTTTTCCTCTAATAGTTCCATTTCTCTTTTTGTGGTCCAATGACACTTTAAATAGAATACTATATTGTTTTGGCTTTTACATTTTGCAATCTACATTATGTTGTATTAGATTATTTAGAATGTTGTTGGATTATTTAAAATATTATATCTATTTAGAATTTTAGATTATGCTACTTAGGCTTGGGCTTAAGGGAAATGGGGACGGGGACAGGGATTAGAAATTTACCCGTGGACGGGGATGGAGATGAAAATTATACCCGTTAACGAGGGTGGACCAGGGATGGACGGAGTTTTTTTAAGCGGGTACGGGGATGAAGACTACACTCCCCGCCCCCGCTTCGGTCCACTGACGTCCCTACATGAGTCATTGCTCCTGAGAAGCTTAACACTAATGATTTGCTTTAAAAAGAAGACCTCATATTTATCTCTCCCCTCAATGGTGTGTTATGTGCAAGAAGGATTGCGAGAAAGTGAACCATTTATTTTTGCATTATCCAATTGCATTGGCCTTATGGAATAAGTTGTTTGATATGGCGGGCCTTCCTTTGGGTGGTTCTAAATTCAATTTCAGCTATGTTGCATGTGGATTATAAAGAATTTGGAAGGAAAAGTAAAAGAAGCACTATTTAGGAATGTGTTTGTTTTTTGCAATTATTTGGGTGATTAGGTTGGAGAGAAATTTAAGAATTTTTTAGGATAAATAAGAAGTGTTTGATGGTCTTTGGAACCAAATTCACTTTCTAGCAATTTTTTGGGCGTTGGTTTCAAAGTAACTTGCAAATATCCCTCTATTTGCAATTTTGGCAAATTGAAAAGCGGCTTTGTTTGTTTGCTTTTTTCTCTATGTACTGTTCTCGATGGTTTGTATCTTGGATGGATTATTTCTCCATCCATGACTTCCATTTGTACGCTATCTTTTTCTTTTAATAAAATTGTGTTTCCTATCACCAAAAATAAAGGAAAAAATATGGTTCCCAATAAATAATATGGGTGTTCCAAATGATTCAGAAATTGAACTGTCTACCTCTACCGTGACACTAAGTGCCAAAACAATACTACACTGCTACAATTGGAACTAATTTTGCTCCTTGAAACAAAAATGACATGGGCACTGCCCAATGCTAGGAGGAAAATCAGCAAATGTGCCATTTCAGCTCTAGTGGACAAGATAAAAGAACACTTACCAATTGCATTATCAATTGGCTCAACAAGTATCAAAAGCTCCTGCAATGCACGATGATGATCTTCTAAAGGTAGAGAGGAATTATTCAAGTCATCTATTGCAATTTGCATCAATTGTGCATCTGATGGCATTTTTATTTTCTCCATCAGTTCCTGTACAAGAAAAAAGATGGCAACAGAGATACCAAATAAGCACAATGAATGAAAAGAGCATGTGGCAGAATGCAAGAAATTAAATCCAAGATAGAAAAGAAAAGGTGATGCGCGTGCATATATGTATAAATTTAATAATCCACCAAACAATTCAATCCCATTCTTACAGATGGAAGTTTTCGTTTCAAATACAGGGACAAGCCATGCAGGGGATAATAACAATCAACATGGAAAACTAAGGATTCACGGTGAAGTCAACATAAGAACAAGTCAAATTAAGTTTGGGTTCATACTGAGTCTATTTTACATTGATTTTAAGCCACA